CATCCGACCCAGATCGGATGGCCCGTAGATGGGACGCAAACTCGCAACCATCGTATAATCACTCACAAGCGTCCATTTCTACGATCACGCGCTAAACGTTAATCTGAACCCTTCCGAATTAACGCTAGTGCCATGCCATCTATCCAGTCGCATGCATTTATATAGTTTATTTACTATACATGCATTTCCGCTTGTGTAGTCTTTTATATTTCTTTATATATTTTCTTTCATTCTCTTCATCGAGTTTACCGAATTGTACCTCCGGTATGACTTAGCTGGTCCCGGTCCGCCCGGATAACCAGTTTGGTTCATTCCGTGGTTTCTAACTTTACCTGTTATTCATTTTGGGTCCAGACTACGTGGGGTCCGGTCTGGCCCGTAATTCCGGTATAATTTATATTTTTCACTTTTTCATAATTTTAAACAGGGTCATATTAGACCCGTCTTATCATATTTTTCAATTTTCTTCATGGTGAAATTTTTCAGTTCCGTTACTCTTTTTTTTTTTCAGACCGATCGGTCTAGTCCTAGACCGATCGGTTCAGAACGGACGTTCCGTCTCGTCAGACCGGACGGGCTGGCAAGTGCGGAACGGACGTTCCGTCTCGTCCAGAACGGACGTTCTGTCAAGTGCAGAACGGACGTTCTGGAGTCGTCTTCAACCTCCAGACCGCGTTTTCTTCTGCGGACCTAGAACGGACGGTCTGACCTCAGACCGGACGTTCTGGTCCTCGGATTTTCACCAAAACACACAAACATGCACGATTTACTATGGGTATAACACTAAAACTCATAAAATTGCATGCACAACACGAATCAAACATCAATTTTTCACAAAATCACTCAAAACCCAAAACCCCATGTCTAACATACTTCCGAATTAAACTCGAATTCACTCACCTCGGGTTAAGCCCGTGCTATGGGTGTTGAATGGGAAGCTTGGGGATGTTCCTCTTGCTCTGTAGAAACCGATTTGAGCGTCAATTGTTCGGATTTGAGAGAGAATTTTCGGTTGGAAATGAAGAACATGTGAGGGAGAGAGAAAATGGCGATTTAGTTCGGATTAGGCCAAATTATGACACGAATTCGGACCCAGGGCGGACTAAATCGTGCACAAAGTCAAAAAGTCGGGATTTTCTGGTCGGATTAGTGCATTCGGGTCGCTTTCAGGTCGGTCCGGACGAAAGTCGTCGTTTGGTCGTTGCCGACACTCTGGTCCGTCCGTTCTGCGGTCTGGAACGGACGTTCCGGACTGCGCGAGCGGTCCGTCCGTTCTGGACAACCCAGAACGGACGTTCTACTTTTTTTTTTTTAAATCTGGGTTGTTACAATCTACCCCCCTTAAAGTGAATTCGTCCTCGAATTCGAACGAACTTAAGTTGAAAGTTACGTACCAAATAAGTGGGGGTAATGATCGCGCATCTCCTTCTCCGGTTCCCAAGTCATGTCAGAGACTCCTTGACTCCGCCACAAGACTTTGACTAAGGGAATCTCCTTATTCCGCAACTGCTTCGTCTTGTAGTCCATGATTTGTAGCGGCTCATCACGGAAGTGAACATTGTGGGTAACCTCAATCTCTTGGGGTCGTAAGATGTGGGATGGATCTGCCACGTATTTCCGTAACATGGACACGTGGAATACATCATGTATGTTGCCGAGTTCTACCGGTAATTCCACTCGGTATGCCACTGCTCCCACTTTCCCAATTACTGGATACGGCCCAATATAACGAGGCTTGAGCTTTCCCGTTTTACCGAACCTTGCATGTCCTCGAATCGCCTGTACTCGTAGAAATACTTGATCGCCCACTTCAAGTTGGAAATCCCGTCTCCTTTTATCAGCATAAGACTTCTGGCGATCTTGAGCGACTTTCAAATTTCTCCTCCACTATTTCAGGTCCAAAGGTTCGTCGCTCTCCGATTTCTGTCCAACAAAGTGGTGTCTTACAAGGCCGCCCATACAGTGCCTCGTAAGGTGGCATCCCGATGCTAGCATGATAACTATTGTTGTACGTAAATTCGCACAACATCAGGTGCCGATCCCACGGAATTCCCCAATCCAATATGCACGCTCTCAACATATCCTCGAGCGTTTGGATAGTTCGTTCTGACTGTCCGTCCGTCTGTGGATGATATGCCGTACTCATCTTCAGCTTCGTCCCCAATGCATCCTGTATAGCGTTCCATAGTCTCGAAGTAAAGCGAGGATCTCTGTCAGAGATAATCTCACTCGGTACTCCATGTAATCGGACGATTTCATCCACATAGATTTCAGCCAATCTCTCAACTGTGTACTCTTGCCGGATTGGTATAAAATGTGCCGATTTGGTTAATCGGTCCACAACCACCCAAATTGCGTTCTTCTTCGTCAGAGTCGTTGGCAATCCGACCACGAAATCCATCGTATAGAGTCCCACTTCCACTCCGGAATCTCTAATGGTTGTAACTTTCCTCCAGGCATCTGTCGTTCAGCCTTCACTTGCTGACACGTCAGACATCGCGCAACAAAATCTGCGACATCCCTCTTGATGCCGGGCCAAGTGTACCACAGTCGTAGACCTCGATACATCTTGCTAGCTCCTGGATGGATCGCTAATCTGGACTGATGAGCTTCTTGCAAGATCTTCCGTCTCAGCCCGCTGTTATCCGGTACACAGAGCCGGTTATGCAATCTCAATGCCTGTGCGTCATCCAACTCATACCCTTTCTCGCGATATCGCTCAATCTCCTGTATGTACTTCAAAAGTTGAAGATCGTTGCGCTGTTCCGAAATTACCCGTGCTCTCAGATCTGGAAACTGTTCATCCTCTGCAACAGTCAAATGACCCAGTATAGCCGACAACTCAGCTATATTCTCCTGTGATGAGGACAATACTCGGATAGCAGATAATATCTTCTTCCTGCTCAATGCATCTGCCACAACGTTTGCTTTACCTGGATGGTAAGCAATTTCTAAGTCATAATCGGCCATCAGTTCTAGCCATCGTCTTTGTCGGAGGTTCAAATCTTTCTGTGAGATGACGTGGGTTAAACTTTTATGGTCGGTGTTGAGTTTAACCTTCTCACCGTAAAGATAAGATCTCTAAATTTTCAGAGCATATATTATCGCGGCTAGCTCCAGATCATGAGTCGGATAGTTCTCTTCGTGTCTTTTCAACTGTCGGGATGCATATGCTATCACATGTCCCTCTTGCATCAGCACACAACCCAACTCTTGTCTCGACGCATCCGTATATCATCATACGGAATACCTGGGCGAGGTAACGCCAGAATAGGTGCAGTGGTCAACCTCTTCTTGAGTTCCATGAAACTCCTCTCACAATCCTCTGTCCATTCGAAGCGCACATTCTTTCCCGTCAGTTTCGTCATGGGCTTTGCCAGTTTAGCGAATCCCTCAACGAACCGACGGTAATAGCCTGCTAACCCCAAGAAACTTCGAATTTCGGTTGCATTGGTAGGCGTCTTCCAATCCATTACTGCCTCGATCTTTGCAGGATCAACCTGGATCCCTTGCGCAGAAACTACGTGACCAAGGAATCCAATTTCTTGCAACCAAAACCCACACTTGCTGAATTTAGCGTATAACTGATTATCCCGCAATCTCCATAGAATCTTCCGCAAGTGTTCTTCATGCGTCTGTTGGTCCGGTGAATATATCAAGAGATCGTCGATAAAGATTATGACGAACTCATCGAGATAATCCATAAACACTCGGTGCATTAACTGCATGAAGACAGCCGGGGCATTCGTCAACCCAAATGGCATGACCACGAATTCGAAATGACCGTACCTAGTTCGAAAGGCAGTCTTCTAGATATCCTCAGCCTTTACACGAATCTGATAATACCCAGAACGTAGGTCGATCTTAGAAAACCACTTCGCTCCCTGCAACTGGTCAAGCAGTTCATCGATTCTCGGCAATGGGTACCGATTCTTGATGGTCACTTGGTTCAAGCCGCGGTAGTCGATGCAGAGTCGCATACTACCATCCTTCTTCTTCACAAATAACACCGGTGCTCCCCACGGTGATACGCTCGGTCGGATAAACCCTGTCTCCATTAGTTCGTTCAACTGTTTCTTCAGTTCTGCCATCTCGGTCGGAGCCATCCGATATGGAGTCTTAGATATTGGCTCCGTTCCTGGCACAACCTCAATGGAGAAGTCTACCTCCCGTTCTGGTGGTAGTCCAGGTAGTTCATCAGGAAACACATCGGGAAATTCCCGAACCACAACAGTATCTTCCAGCTTTGCTTCTGCTTCTTCGGTTGCTGTGATTACAACCAGGAAGGCTTCATTCCCTTTCTCAATCATCCTGTAGCGTATCGTCTTGGACTACCATCAGAGTTGGGAAACGTGCATGACGTATTCCACGTATCAATGCTACGGAAGTACGTGGCAGATCCTTCCCACGTGATACAACCGCAGGAATTAGAGTTCACCAGCGCTATGCGTTTTCGGGACGAACCACTACAGATCGTGGACCGGAAAGTCAAGAAGCTACGAACCAAGGAAATACCGCTCGTCAAAGTGGTATGGATATCTCAAGGGGTTTCTGACATGACATGGGAACCCGAGGCGGAAATGCGTGACACTTATCCCCATCTGTTTGTTTAAATGCTGTAAACGTCCGAACAAGCGAGGTTGTACTATAATAAACCTTTATGGAATTTAAGGAAGGCTTTGGAATGGATGATAAGCAATTCAGAATTCGAGGACGAATTCATTCTAAGGGGGGAGGATTTGTAATACCCCGAAATCTGATTTGATTATTTAATTATTTTCAAAGATAAATAAGTAAATAGACAGGACATTAGTTTAAATATAAGGTACAACATCAGAAAAAAGGACACAAAATAGATCAGACTGGTCAGCCCAGAAAAAAAAAAGACACAAAATGATCTAAAGTGGCGGAGAGTTGATTCGATCGACTAAAAGCAACTCGTACAATTTTGGTCAAATTTGATTGAATCAGTTTCATTCAAGCGAAAAATAAAACGATGTGGAAACTCGGTCGTATTTGCATAAATCTGTAAAATGATGAATAGTGTCGGTGAATAGTGACCGTGAATAGTGTCGGTGAATAGTAACCGTGAATAGTGTCTGTGAATAGTAACCGTGAATAGTGTCTGTGAATAGTAACCGTGAATAGTGTCGGTGAATAGTGACCATGAATAGTAACCGAGCAAAAATCCCACATCGAAAATTCTACCCATTTTCAAGGATTTGGAACTCTATATAAGGGGAGTTTGGCTCAAGACTTCAACACACCAAGTCCTAAGTCCTATAGGGGATCTAGAGAGCTTTATAAGAAGTCTAATACGACCATAAGCTCTCGGGAACCTCTCCGGACTAGCGACAAATTTTTAGGCCTTATCAGGCCAGATCCACTTGCTGGATCTATCTGCGGTGTAGATACCGTAGAGGGCGTTACTTTTTGTGGCGTCTTCTAGTGGTGCACGGACGTCGCCAGGTCCAGTCTCGCCGGTTAAGGTTAGTATCTCTCTTCGTGTTTTAGTGTTTTCCTATTCTAGGATTAATAAATTATGAATTTATCTTTCCGTTGCATAGTCTTAGAACTAGGTTAGTGCCATGGTGGAAACCGTGACAGTAGGCTAAGGAAATCAAACAAACAACCTTTCAATTCAGTCGATTTTGGACAGAAAGAGAGTAGAGGAGAAAGAGAGGGGGGAGAGTAACCAACGCACGTGGAGTTTGGAGACACACAGGACCAAGTACTGAGCACAATATCCGAGCCGAAACATAGTGAGTGGTTTTGAGTTGAGTTTGTGAGATTCAATTCTCATGTTTAATGGTGTAGATTAGTATTTCTGCAAGGATTTAGGACCTAAGGATGTTTAGTAATAAATGAGTAGCAATTGACATAAAAAGCCGATAAAAAAAACTAGACATAAGAAATAATGATTTAGAACGCACCCCCTGAACTGACCGATCCGGTGAACAGATCAATCGGTCCAGGCATATAAATGAAACGTACCAAGTACCTGTCTAGATCGGACGAATTGACTCAAATGGATTAAAACGGTAATATGGTGTTAAATGGTATTTAAACGAAATAGGATAAAATAAGGGTGAACAAAACGTGAAAAAGGTAAAAGTAAATAGAAGAAAGGAATTAAACCGAAATGAATACGAAGGGTAAATCTAAGAGAAGTACTCGAAATTGCGATATAGGAATACCGGATAAATAATTATGATGATGCATGTGATTGAATGATTAAGGAACCCTGTACTTAGTACCGATTGACGGCGTGAGTCAGTGCTAGTACGGGGATGTGTGGATTTAGAACCAGTGCCGGTTGACGAACTTGGAGTCAGCACTGGATGATATGTGGTTTCGGTAATAGTACCGGTTGACGAACTTGGAGTCAGTACTATTACCGAAATGGAATACCAGTACCGGTTAACGATGTGGAGTCAGTACTGGTATAGTTGGGTGGACGTTTCTGGAGCGGTACCGGTCGACGATGTGGAGTCAGTACCGTTAAGGAAATGTGTAGTGAAGCCAGTACCGCTTGACGGCGTGGAGTCAGTACTGGTGGATCTGAGTGGTCGTCTTTATAATAGTACCGGTTGACGAAGTGGAGTCAGTACTATTATAGGGAAGCAGGGTAAAGTCTAGTACCGGTAGACGAATTGAGTCAGTACTAGATGATACCGAAAGGAACGGTACCTGATAGTGCCGGTGGACGACTTGAGTCAGTACTATCAGGTATCGGAAAAATGTGTGAAATAATGTTAATGTGTTAAAAAGATAAGTGAGAAAGGATCAAACAGATTAAAAGAATTCTTGCATTGAGAGATTAGTTGGCACCGTTCTCCATGAGAATGGGCTCTCCGGGCTCAACCCGGGCTGCTCACTAAGCTTTTGCTTAGCCCTCCATTGTTGAATTTTTTAGATCCCGAGGAGCACGAGTAGCGCACTGTGGACGACGACAACTTGTGAAGACATCATTTATGTACGGTTAATTAATCCTGTTTTCGTACGTTTTGGTTTGGGGAACAAGGTTTTGTGTGGAACAGTGTGTTTAATTGTGTGTTTGGACAAGTGGTTTGCAAGAAACGTGTGATGGTTTATTTCCGCTGCGTGTGGTGTTTAAAAATAATTTTTAAATTCCCGTACTTTTGGTTGTTTTATGTTTTATCGGTAATTGTCCATGTGGCATATCCTGTACACGGGATACGGGATTCGGGTGTCACAACTTTTGGTATCAGAGCAACGTTCTATCCATGGGAAAGAATGACTCATACCCTTAAGGTTTTCACGCTGAAAAATGTTTTTCGATAGTTATTTTAAAAGAAAAATGTTTTACAAAATGCCGTACATAATGACGTTCTACTCGTTGTCGTTTGCTAAGTACAACTACGTGATGCAGTGAAATGGCACCACGACGCACTCAGTCAATCACGGGAGACAACAGCGTACCCAACCATGACCCCCGTACTGATGGGTTCAGGGAGTTCCAAGAAGAGATGAGGAATGAGCTAAGGAACGAGCTGCGTGTGTTCCAAGAGGCGATGATGCAAACGTTACGGGCTCATATTCCGCCTCCACCACCGGCAGGGGGACCAGAACCAAGGGGGGAAGACTTACCCCCACCGCCACCTGTGGACCCAATGGCCGGAGAGTATCTTCCTATCATCAGGGAATTGCGGGCTATGCATACCCCGCGTTTCGAAGGCTCACTGAGTCCGGAAGCTGCAGAAGAGTGGTTAACTACCATTACTCGAGACTTGGAATATGTCCAATGCCCTCATCGCCACCGAGCTATGATAGCGAGCCATCACCTGGCAGGGTAGGCTCGACATTGGTGGAAGAAGGTGGTGCAGGAAATGCCCGAGGGACATCGCTTTACCTGGGAGGAGTTCAAGGGGGAATTCGAATACAAATACTACAACCACCAGGACCAAGAACACCGCTTTGTGGAATTCTTGCAGCTGCAACAAGGGAACATGACGGTTCGTGAATACGAAGCAGAGTTCACCCGTTTGTTGACTTATGCAGGACATCTTGTACCTACGGAAGGCAAAAAGATCCAGAAGTTCATTGCCGGACTACGACCATATCTTCGCAGGAAGATAGAACTCCACGAGTACCCCACGCTCAGTCGCTACATCAGCCAGCTGGTGAAGGCAGAGCGAGGAGAAAAGGAAGAGAAGGAGGAGTGCATCCGAGATCGGAGCCCTATCAGGCGATTCTCCAACGCCCGACCTCCGGGAAAGACCAGCCAGACAGGTCAGAGCAGCCAGTCACGGGGCAAGGGGAAAGCA